AGGGAAGCTGTTTCCAGCACCAGCACTCCAGCTGCTTTGGCTGCTCCATCTGTGGCTAAATTGGGCCCAGGTGAGGCTGGACCTGCAGCTTTGGAAAACACAAGCTGGAAGTCTTGGCAGCATCCACATGCTGTTAGGTCTGTAGGCTCGCAGAATGCCAGAGCTGTGGAGGCATGGGAGCCTCCATCCCCATTTCAAAGGGTTTATGGAAAAGCCTGGGGGGCCAGGAAGAGATCGGTCACAGAAGCGGATTTACTGCGTAGAGTCTTTGCTAGAGTGATGCCAAGAGGAAATGAGGGGTCAAAGGTGTAGCAGAAAAACCCCACCAAGGCTATGCCTAGTGGAGCCATGGGAGTGGGACTGCCATGGAGACCCCAGACTTGTAGAGCTACCAGTGTGCTACACCAGCCTGTGAGAGCTAAAGCATCACCTGAGTCAAGGAAAGCCATAGAAGTGGAGCCCCCACACCAGCATGCAGAGCACATCAAACATGGAATCAAGGTACAAGATTTACCAGCTTTGAGATTTGATGCCTGCCCTGCTGAGTTTTGGACTTGTTTAGGACCTATTATCCCTTTCTTTTGGCCTATTTCTCCCTTTTTGAATGAGAATATGTACCCTATGTTTGTATCTTGGAAGTAGATGACTTGTTTTGATTTCACAGGTGGGACTTTGGAACTTTGAGTTGAAATAAGTTAATAGTTTGGGGATGAAATGAATAATTTGTATTTGAAAAGGACATGAGTTTTGGGGGGCCAGGAGTGGAATATTATGGATTGAATTGCATCCCCCTAACAGTTTAATTTGTTGGAGGCTTGGTCCCCACTCTGACAGTGTTAAGAGGGTGGGAAATCCTATTATGGTAATTGAAAGGTGGGGCCTTGAGGTGGTGATTAGATTGTAGGACCATGCCCTAGTGAATGGATGAATAATGGTGGTCATGGGCGTAGTTCCGAGGGCTTTAAAAGGAGAACATGTGAGAGTCTCTCTCTCTCTGCTCTGCCATTTTCTGCCACATGAGACCCCTGAATTGTTGTAGAGCCACCACCAAAGAACACTGTCACCACATAGGTTTCCTGGACTTGGACTTCCCAGTTTCCAAAACTGTAAGCAATAAATTTTGTTTTTTTACAAATTACCCACTTCCAGGTATTTATGATATAAGCAACAGAAACAGACTAATACAGAAAGCCACCAGGCCACCATCCATACATTGGCCAGCTAAGTAAGTGCCCCTCTAGGAAGAGCTCATTCCTTTAATTCTCAGACACTTAGACCTGAGAAACCAAAGTTGCACTGGGCCTTGCTTCCGTAGCTACAGATACCACCTCAGCTGTAGCCAGGTAACACAACAATGAGGGACAAAATAATTGGAAATTATTCATTACACAGCATTGGGAGTGGGGGATGTCTTCAACTGTAATGGCAAGATGGTGGGAGAAAAGCTGGTGGAAAACCTGAGGATCTGAGAAAGTGAGGTGAACTCAACTGGGTGCAGGGCATCTTACATGACATCAGGCCTGCAACTTTGTGAGGAGCCTCACCTTTCCCAACAGAGGAACGATGGCTCCTGGAAAGTTGTAGAAAGTGCACAGGCCCAGCACAATGCACACTGCACTCTTTACAGGTGTTAGTGCAAATGACATGAAGGCTTCAGCTACTTTAATGACCTATAAAATGCTACAGTTGATATACCACTTGAAGAAGGGGATAAGGTTGGTGTTAATAATACTCAAAATTATACAGATGTGGTAGAAAAGACCACAGGAGTTTATCGTGGAGCTAACTAAAAAAGATTTCATTGCTCCTTTGCTTCTCATATGAGCACTAATGAAAGAGAAATGTTCTGGACTACAGATATTTATCTCAGTACCATGGGCTACTCTGGAATTAATACACATGCCTGTGTCACTGGCACACAGATCAGTCCAAGCGGCATCCATGCAACTCTGCCATGGGAGAGGTATCTTTCATAGAATTGTAAAATTCATGAATGCTGCTTCTTGCATGAACCTTTTGGTATATTCTCTCAATGTGGGGGATAAAACTTTTATTGTTCTGAATTTGGTAATAGGGCCTTGCACACTATGAGGCATTTATATCATTTTGATGCTAGATGTGTTGGTGAGATTGATGGTAACATATGGAATCCAGATAGTGTTTCTCCAAAGGAGTAAGAAGACTCTAGATTACAAACTCGGACAATTAAATTGTCTTTTCCATAGTCAAGTCTTATGAGAAAAATATCCCCAAAGTGGATTATAACACATGCATTTCTGCTTCAAGTGAAAAATAGCTTACCAAACACAGTACATCCAAAATCAAAATCAAAATGATTGCTGATGGTGGTAATGAATCAGCAGCACCAGGGACTAGGATTTTCCTTAAGGGGAATATTTTGGTAATCCTTGCTCTCTACTTGAATGCTAGAAGAGTGACTATCTTATTTGAACGGATTAAAAAATCTGAATTATGTCAGCTACATATATTTAAACATGAAAGAGATTTTAACTTAATTTAATAATATCTGTTCAAGAGAGTTTAGAAAGAAAATGTGGAAAATAGGGTGGGGCTATTAATTTGTCCGTACTGCAGGGTTGCAAGATACAAGTCAAGAGCCTTGTTCTGTAGTATAACATTGTTAGAACATGGCATTGCCCTCCTGTCTTTTAAAGCAAAGCAATTCAGTTTTATATGTTGTAAAATTAAATGTTGTTTCTTGTTATGAATTTTATTCTCGTGCAACACCGCCAGATGAGGAGCCAAACCTAAGCCCACAAGGAAGAATGCACAACCAATGATATTTGAGTTACTGCTTCCTCAATGAGGCCTCAGAAGTGCCTGAAGAGAAAGTGGGACATCCTACTACTTGAGGTGGGTGGGACTGGTGACAGGTGGAATTAACTAATTAACTTAGTGAGGAACTTCTGGATACCAAGGTAATTGGTAGTTGGTGGTGGATGTGGGGCGGGGTATGAGATAATTGTAGCTCCACGTATAGTTGTGAGAACTAAGACAGAGAGATCCCGTGCACCTTTTACTCATTTCCCCTCAATGGTAACATAGACTTGCTTCTTACTTTGTGGAAATGTATATATCTAGGAAATAGGACTAGGGTACTCTGGGTAAAATATTAAAGTACATGTATAATGGAGCCAAACTTTCAATTTTCTCTTTACCAAGGTTGGTTGCTTGGGAGAACATGGAGAGTGTATAAAGCAATGGCTATAGAAAAAGCTGCAGATTAACCTCTGTAAGAGGTGGCGGGCCTGAAAGGGGCTGGAATATGCAAAGTTTGACCTGACAGACCCCAGGAAGGGAGAGGGGAAAAACCAAGACCAAACTTGCTCCTTGGTTCAGTGAGGTACCAAGAACTGAAAAAGAACCACCAAAACAGATCCAAAGATGCAGCAGAATGGTTGGATGCCATGGGAGGAGTTTCTGCTGTCCGGTATGAAAAAGAAAACAAGTAAAAAGTAATCTGCTATGAAACTGCAACATGGATGTATCACCCCAGTGTCCTACCCAGAGTTATCCTTGCACTAGGGACTGGTGTGGATATTGCAGATACAGATAAGTAGAATGGCAAGCACAGGAGTAACTGGACAGTGGCACAGGATTAGCAGAAGGCAGTGATAGCGGTGGTGCTTGACACAGGTGTGTGGGAAGCCAGCAGATGCCATCCAAGTGCCTGGGGGTCTAGGCCCCAGGGGATGTGGAGAACAACCATAATTTGTAGGGCACTACAGGTATTAGCCCCTTCCCACTTCAATAGAGGAGGGACTTGGATGGGGGTAGAGTTCCAGCAATAGAGCTAGGCAGGCTGAGCTATGGAATAATACGCTTATCATTTTTTAGACCCTGTTACTCTAAGCCATTATGGCAAAGGGAAATGCCATTTACACTTTCCCTTTTGATGGAAGATATCGGTAATTTACTATCACATAAGTATTTCTACTTCATTTAATAGGTTGGAAGGATGTGAGGCTAACAGTGGGAGAGACAATGCAGCAATTTGTGCACATGGGCGGTAGAGAACTTGGCTAAAGGCTAGTTACTGGGATTCTCATTCGCTTGCCCACTCATATTTACAGAAAGTGTCTCTTTGGCTTTCAACATGTAGAGATTCAGTGAGAAAAATAAAGCTTTCATGTAAGTATGGTGAACTAGAAAACAAATAACATTTGACAAGGTATATAATCCATTTGTAGGGAATACAGTATCTGCATGTTTCTGCTTACACAAAGGTATAAAATTATATACACATGCAGCAGAAAGAGCACTGTGCCTACTGTACGAATAATACTGGTGGAACAAATCTCCAGTTTGGTAAAACTGGTGGTATTGTGTTGAGTCTTGAGGACTCAAGAGAGTCTCTGACAAACCTGACTCCAACAGGTGCATCTAGCAGTCTTCAACGAGCTTTACTGTGATTTAGTCACATTTAGAGGTTATTTTTAAAGGAAAAGTTATCTTTAGCAAAAATGTCCACAGTGCCTGACATATAGCAGAAGCTCAATAAATGCTTTTTAAGTGAACGAGCAAATGAATGAATGAAGGTTCTCAGTAATGTGGGTTTGGAATCTCTCCTGTGACCTATGGGCCTTGACATCAGATATAAGACAAAAACTAAACATTACGCAGATGGCTTTATGTGTTCAGAATTTTTCATGCAGAAAGATGATCAAAAACAAATTATTTGTTACATGCAATTTCTTTTGGCAGTTTTCCTTCATCTGCCTTTGGGATCTATCAGGCTTTTGCCTTGCATTGGGTATACACATTCACCTCTCTGAGCTATTCGATATAAAAACCTGATGGAGAGTCTGGGTCTAAGTTATTTAGAATCTACAGGGCAATTCCTGTATTACTCACGAGACTGGGCATTTACCTGCTTCCCTACCTATGAGACAATGCTACCCTCTAACCTGTGAAGTAGGTAAAATGGCCAATTCTACGGGGGTGGTAGAAAGGTGACAGAAGACAGAAGCACCAGCTCATTGATGTTTGTCATTTTTATTTGCAATACTTTAGGTCCAAGTTTCAAACTGCAATATTTTTACACTCAAGACACAGTCATGCACAATCCATATTTCAATTTTCTATTGCTTCAACCACAATTAAAAATAACAATATTGGAAACAAAAATTCTTTAAAAGATAGATGCTGAGGTCAGAAAGATGGAACCATACCGTCAGCAGGTCTAGAAAAGAAATAACTTACTTAAAAGTCAAACAAACAGAAAGACTATAAATATCTTTAATCCAAAGTTACAGAAGAATTTCACTACACATGGGTTTACAGATAACACATTTTGACGAAAGTAATGCACAGCCAAATGAGATACAATTCTGATAAACAATGAAAATGTAGATCCTCCTCAACTTGTTTTGTCTGGATATTATGAGTATAATCCCAGTAGACATCAGTTTCCTTGTGATCTGACTCCTCTTGACTGATGTACTGAGATTTAAAACTCAACCCATCAATGGTTATAGGATTCTGTGAAAGATCTTATCATCACCAATGTATATAGTATATGCGGGTCGATTAACACACCACACACAGGCACACACGTTGAACTTGAATTTTGCACTCAGGGCTGGTTGGCACTCTTCTGCAGGTGTCCACCAACTAACTTCCAGTTTACCCTCTTTCCAACAGCATATACATACAACTGGCCAATCACTGTGGGAGTTGTCATTAGAAATGCTATCTTTGGATCCCAACAAGTGAATTTGTCAACAACCCTTAATGCTAATAGCATGTAATTATGTGTTCATTTCTCTCTCTGCAACTTGTAGGTGCTTACGTCCACTTTTAGTAGTCCCAGCCATTAAAATGCATGGGTTCTGCCATCTTGTGCCATTTACAAATTAAACTCTATGAAACCCAACACTGCTTCATAGGAAAAAAGAGGCCCAAGTACAGCTCTATTCTAGCAAGTGTGACAGTGTATTTCTGTTCTAGTAGTAAATACTGGCCACAGCTTAATGTAAACCACACTTTACTTACAGAATGTACGGAAAATGAAACTGGGAACACTCACAGAAAAAGGCCATTAAAACAAAAACAAAACAAAACAGCTGTCAATGAATTGGAAGGCTGCCACAAGTTTCAACAACATTTTTTAGTATTATTAACTTCATTTACTTGAGTTTTTTCATCACCTTATGTAGTTGTATCATTTAACTGAAGCATAAGAGACCCAGGCTTAGATATGTGATATTTGCCATCACTTCAGCAGGTTGAATTTGCAAGGAAATTTATAATACCATAGAATGTTACAGCCTTTGTAAAGACCTCGGAGATCATCTAGTCCAATACCCTTATTTTATAGATGAGGAAACATCCATGGAAAGGTTAAATGACTTGCCCAAGTTCACACAGCAAGTTAGTAATAAAGTACATATGAGAATTCAGCTCTCCTTCTTCCTAGGCTAGTATTTCTTCCACTACATCTGACTCATTAATCTATAATTGCTGTTGATTTCCTCTTATGTAATAAATCAAGTAAACATGGTACCTGCCTTACTGCTGGTATTATGGGATAGCATTCACGTGATGGCAGCTTCCAAAGGAGACTCTGATGCCACTAACCAGCTTCTATAAGTTTATTTTTCAAGTTCAACTAAATTAAGTGGCAGTAAATGCTACAAGTTTAATAGTATACTTGCACACAGAGGTGTGCATGTGAAGGTGACTTCTCAGTTCCCGCATTCGCAGATTCGGTTAGACATTGTTTAATATTCAACAGATATTCTCAATGCATGAGAAGTTGCATTATATTCATTTGGTTACTAAAGGAGTGTGGATCAGAAAAGGAGTGAAAAAATAAAAGCTAACCAACAGAAAAATTATATTAGAAACAAATCTTTTATGGAAAATTCTTTCATAGGAAAAATATTTCCATTATTTCCAAGGTCCCATTTATTTCCTTCCCAAGCCACATGCACATATATGTTCAGAACTGTGTGTTAAGTTCACTCAAAATCCCAAGCCCATGAGACTGTCAGTTTACAAATGCTGAACGTCAGTCCTTTTGCTCAGAGACTGGCAGGTGCTTGCAACACCAGCCATGCCTTTGTTTAACTGAATATTAACTGCAAGTAGCTCAGAAAAGGACCAGGAGATTCAATGAGGGATGGCAGGACTAAGACTTCCATAAGCATTTTTACATTGAGAACAGCTAATGAAAAGCCTATGAGTTCTCTAGGTATAAGGTCTGCTTTCGGTGAAACTGAGTTACATATCTGAAGCCACTACCTCATTATTAAAGTCCTCACCTAAAATTTCTTTGGTGAGTTAGAACAAAATTCCTTTCTTTTGGTAGATGGTCTCCTTCTCTCTTTAAAAATCACTACTGCATATATCCTATAATTAGGCAGTACAAAAACACATAGAGACCATCTGAAGCCAAAATTAACAGGACTACGAACTGAATGCCAACAGTCAGAGACAGTACTAAATATTTGTCTTAATGATTTGAGTCAGCTTTTAATTGCAAATCATAACTGCTATTGAAATCAGCAGGACTTGCCTATTGGTCATTATAAGAAGAATCCTACCTGAATGATATAATATCCTGATGGACAAGGAAATGGTGGGAGCTGGGGATTTTAGCCTTTTATTACTCCAAAATTCAACCTGAAAACTTGCTAAAACAATCCAGAAAGGTGATACCTGAAACAGATGTTATCAAAGGGGCTAATTAAATGGTCACCCCTCCAATCTAAAGTAACCAAAACAGACACCCAGATGCCATACCAAAGTGGAGGGTAGCTTGTTTTAAAGCAGAAGGATGTGTTTGGAGTTCTAATAGTGACATCTCCCTAGCTTTAATTTATAGATAATAGTCTCCTAAGAAAGCACGTGCCATACCCGAGTGTGTGCAAACTTCAGCACCCAGGCAAGTATAAAGCCTATGGAATAATTGTAACTAGCAAATATCTGTGCCCTGCATGCTCTGGGCTCTGGCCAGAGGCATCTGCTTCTGGCGTCTTTTCTATGTTTCTATAGTTCCCTTTCTGATGTTTATTTATTATAAAGCAATATTATAACAACATCAAAGAAAATTTATAAAGAAAAAATTTTTCACATGATCCCGCCACCCTAACAACTGATTTCAATTATCTGTGTTCCCAGTCTTTGTCCATATGCACACTTATTTTTACATAGTTGTAATCCCTGTTTGTTATTTAAAAGTGATTTTATAGAATCTCTCTGAGAACTGGCAGCCTCGTTAGAAATAAATAACCCATTGAGCAAAGGAATATAATTATTTACACGATCTTTGAGCTGAGAAATATCCTTTATAGACAAACATCTCAAACTATCAAAACAGTTATACAGACAACAGGAAGCAATTTCATATTTCTTTCTCTTTTAGCAATGGAATGTGCTTCACTGGGGAGGGATAGACGTAAGGATCAGGTGATTAAACTCAAACGTTGAGGTGCAATTCACAAGCCTGAAAGAAATCTGAATAACACAAAGAATAAATACTTGAGTTAAATCTTCTTACATGATTTGGCCATCCAGTAGCCAAAATGAAACATGGACACACAAATATTTACAATGACACGTAGACGAGATCAGTAAGAACGAAGTCATTACCCAACATGGTGACTGATTTGAGGGGATTGTGTCATCCAAAAATCCTCATGGGATTATGACAACGCACCGGATCCTTGCTACAACATTAATGTTCTTTTCTTTCTTAAATAAATAATCTCTACTGTGCTTCTCACCCTTCCCTGACTTTCCCACTGCCCTACTCCTCTCTCAGGACATTTTGGAATCAACATTCAACAATGTGCCCTCATTATTTCAGGGCACACTAGCAACATTAAAGATCTGGATAGACTCACCTGTGTCAAGATGAGCTAAAAAAGAAATCCAAGGAATGGGAATAAACTATTAACTATCTGGAGTCCAAGTTGTTCAAGTGTACCAAATGTGAATCCTTCAGCATCAATTTGGCACAAGAAATAGCTTCTCTCTAAATACTTATTAGAAATATACATAACTCTCCAACACAGGGAAGGGGCTTTAGAAGCTGTTCTCATTTGAAAATTCACATAGATATAAATTTGTAAGAGTAATGCCTACTGGGAGGTATTATCAAATCTTGGTACAAAATGGTGGTAAAGAAGTACCTGACTCCTCATTAAAATGCTGAACAGAAAGCATAAAAGAGCAGCCATTTCTCTGCCTACAGTGATCTGAAGGATCACTGTTCCAGGGTCTCCAAAATAACAACAAAAGGCCTTTACAACATTTAAGGGATGCTAACTGATGACTAGGGCTTCCCAGCCAGGTTTAGGGCTCTCTCTACTGGCGGGGCATAGTCATCAAGTTAGTGAATTTTATTTGCATCCCAGGTATTTCATTGAATTCTCTGGCACTATGAGTGATAAAAACAAAACAAAACAGCAAAACCAAACCAAAAACCAAATAACCTTAATTTTAAATAAAATAAAAATTAAGGCCTCTGTCACTCTCATTAGAGCAGTGTGGCATTAAAGATTTCGGGCCCAGATACCTTTTTGCAAAGTATAACACAGTATGCTTCAAATTAATATTACCATTTGATTTTCTTTTCACATTTGTTGTTTTATCCCACTGTGGATATTCCCAGGGTGGAGGTGGGGGGGGGGTAAGCCCCTTCCAACTATTATAGTCAAAGAAAACAATAGGAAAATAGGAAATCTACCAGTGGCATCATCTCCTAAACATAAACATGTACACTATATGGTTAGCAGAAAACTCTAAGGAAAATGCTTTCATTTTAAGGAATGGATGGATGGATGGTTAGATGGATGGATGTACCTCAGCAGAGAAAGAGAAAAGCCTATGTCATGGATCTCTTTCCCTCTTTTACTAAATGTAGATAGGTTCTATTCAGATTCCATACTACAAATCAAGAAGCCTTCTATAGCACAAATTGTTAGCTTTTCAAAGGTTTAGAGAAACAATTTTCCAGAATTGATAAAATTAACAATACACTCAAAAGAGAAGCATATACTTTTCTATGCAGACACCCTCCAGATATTTTTCTGCTCTCAAAAGATTCAGGAAGTGCCAACTCTTGAATTTTTAGTTAATATATGGTGAAAGAATCATCAAATTTTGGTATTTTCCCCAAGCCACAAAAGGAATTCAGTTGGACTGACATTTCTTGGGATATATGATTGCATACCAAAATTATTTTCACTAGAGAATTTCAAGATCTTTTTGAATAGCTTTTGGAATTCAGAAGCCAATGGATCTAAGCATGAACACACCATATCCTGAAACGGAAATTGGTGACACGTAGGAAAATGGGAACAAGTACTTAGAGCCAAATGTTGATTAGGATGTAGTTTTCACTGACCTCCTATTTCTTACAGGATTGAAGGCTTATCAAATCTCTGTTTTCCAGATCTTTTGAAAAACTTTTTAAATGCTACAAATTGTCAAAATAAATAATTTTATCATAAGGAAATGCTGGTTAATGGATCTATTTCCTCCTGATGTGCCTATTTTACAGTGCATGTGTTCCACAAGCACAAGAGAGGATTAAATTAGGTATCTTTATCTTTGTTTACTTAATGTCCAACAAGGATTTTAGTATTATATATGTCTTGTTTTCCTTTTGGCTCTCAGAGAAAGTCCCATCTTTGTTTAAACACAGTTTCTTCTATCAAGATTTCCTAGGTTCAGGATCTGGACTCACCCAACGGGGATGCTATGGTTTCAGTGTGTCCTTTTTCAGATATCATGAAGATTAACATGCTGGTTTACATAAATAAGTCAACTACCTCTTAAGCATCATTGTGAAAATGTGACAGGATTTCACCATTTGAGCTTTACTTAAATATGCAGTTTTAAAAGCCCTTCCCGAACACACATATTCCTCTCTGCTTTTGGAAAATGTCTTAAAAGAAACCTTTTCCAATACTCATGAAGAAAAATAGGTACACAAACCAGACCACCACTACAGAAGAAGAATAAAAAATTGCAACTCTATTAGGGCATGGACTTCCACATGTTCACACAGTACTTGTTCTTGTTTTTTTGTTTGATTTTTGTTTTTTGGGTTTTTTTTTGCTTTTCTTTTTTTGCTGTCTTTTTATAAAAAAACATTTTGACATCTTTTTTCTGGACATCTAATGACAATGTAAGTGAAAAAATCACATTGGGTAAGGAGTTTTGAAGGAGGTTCGAATGCAAGAGGGACTACTCTCTAACTTAAAAACAAACACAACACTATGAAGAGGAAGAGTGCATCTTTGAGAAAACTTTTTCTTCAAAGTGAATGCACAAAATGAGGGGATTCACTACTGGCTCTTTCGCTTCACGGTGGAAGTGACCACTTTATGGCCACTTCGACATTGCTGCCCTGTTTGGGCTGCGATTCAGGCTTACAAATAAATTACATAATCTGAGGGAGTAGGAAAAAGGCTTATAAGAAGTTTCTATTCATTTGAAAATTAAAGAACCCCCACCCCATTTGACTGTCTTTTCTTCCATCTTTCCTGCAGCAGAGTTTTATTTCAGTCTTACTCGTGAGGGAGACGGTGAGGGGTAAGGCTGGCAGTCCTAGCGGCTGCTGTTCTTAATCGCTTCCTTTGCAGCGATAATCAGAGGAGTCAGGCTGGAGAGAGGCTTGGCTAATTTTAAAAATGGATGCTGAAAAAGGAAGAAAAAAAAGAGAGGAATTACTTAAATTCTTTCTTCCAAGTACATTACCTTAGATTTTCAAGCAGACTCTTTTTCATTTAAATGTATTTTGAGCACCGAATTACACATCATTTAATTAAAAAATGGTGCCAGCTTTTGTCCTTCAGATGTTTTTGTCTTTCAGTGTCATGAAATCCTCTGAAAGCTGAGTGGCACATCTAGACACTCTGAGCAGGGATCTTGTAACATCTCAGTGTTTGCAAAGGTCTGACTTTCTGATTTTCTCAAACTGAGGAATGTATCTGGAGCAGCCCTCATGCTTGAAAAAGTGTCTTCAGTTGACCGCCGAAGAACTTTACCCAGAATCCAATGGTTTCCTAACTGCTAAACCCAATAGCTGTGCCTCCACCATCTCTCTTTCGGCCCCTCTGCAGTACTTTGAAATGTTTTCACCTTCAGAGCCTGTCGCATTCTACTGTCATGGTTCTTTTCTGTGAGCATGTGCACTGCTACTCCCTCTCCATCTTCCCTGGTTTCATTTCCTCCTCCTACCTCTCCCATACCAGAATTTGACTCTCACCATCTTTTTGTAATTTAATTCCTTACCAACCTGATTTCCTTTCATTGTTTCAGCTTATCAACTTTATGGAGATAACTCCCAAATCTATAGTGTGTGATCTGGTCTATTTCCTGAGTTCTGGTCCTAGTTCTCCAGTTGCCTGCTGGCTACCCTCTCTGGAATTTTCTTTTGTTATCATAAATGCAACATTTAAAAAGTTATGTTAAAGTCTCCTAAACAGTGTGCTCTTGTGTGATACAAGCTACAGGGGCTTTGGAGTCAGAGCACCTAGTTTCAATCTTCACCTCTGCTTATTACAATGGTTAAATGAGGTAAGCAACAGTCCCTTGAAAGCTACATAGGAGCCAGGAAATGCTAGTCATTATATTATCCTCTATCACTTGTCCTTGTACTGAATGCTACCACTGGTTTGTTACCCTGAAGTCACTTTTGTCTTTCTCTCCCTTATGTTCTACATGCAATCAGCTACCAAGTACTTTTTACTCAATGCCTCTTACATTTATCTCTTGCTTTTTCTAGTCTGGGCCTAATCAACTTAATCCTAAACTATAATAACTTCCCCTTAGTTTCCCCTCCATTCTTTCATGTTGCTAATTCTTATTGCATGCGACCAGATTAATCTTCTTCAACAGAGCTTTCATCATGTTTGTCCCTTAGACATCTTCAGCATTTCCTCACTGCCTACAGTCCCAACTCTTTAGCCTGATGTTCAAAGCCCTCTACTGTTTTATCTCCTGCAGCTTCCTTATTTGAACTCTTTACTTCAACTATACTTTCTACATAATTTCCCTTAAACCTTGCCTACATGCCTTTGGTCACATTATAACACTTCCATCTGCAATCCCTTTCCCTCTTTTCTTCAATCTATCTAAAACTGATCTGTCCTTCAAGGCTTAGCTGAACTCCTCTGTTCACAGGCATTTTCTGATTGCCCTAGCCTACAGAGGTATTTCTCTAATAAACCATGTCATTTACTATTTAAACAGCCACTGGGTTTGGATGAGTCTCTAAACAGCCTTGCATTATCTTTTCATGTACCCAAGGATATGTGAACTTCTTAAGAATAGGAATCGTGCCTTTAACAGGTTTGTATCACCCACAGCATTTATTCTTTGCAAACTGAAGTTGCTCAATAAATATCAACTGATGGAAAGAGAATTGACTTAGGCCATACAGAAAGGCACACAAATATTCAAGCCCTGTGTCTTTTCTCCAGCCTTCCAGTGGTGTAAACATCATGCATCTCTCTTTTTTATAACCACTAAGTGGGCAATGATAGGCTAGAGTCAGAAAATGGAGTTATATGGACTTAAGGAGATATACAGGTCATTGCTTACATGCACAAAATGAAAAGATGCAACAAACAAACTATTCAATTTAGACTCAAAATATAGTTTTGCATCAGTTATTTGACTGGTTCACATAAAAGCATTGTTGGGGAACGAATTAACTAAATAATTGATTCAATAATCTACTTAGCTGTACAGCTACATTAAAAGAAACTCAATCTTCACTCAACCTTGGAAGAAGTCATAACAGGAATGTGTATCAGGAAGTATATATGGGGTGGTGGGAGAAGCGAAAAGTTGTGTAGGTGAAGCGCTCAAACGTTCACGTTTTTCATCTCAAATCTGAGGCTGGATTAATTAGAGGAATAACAAAGGGTCATTCCAGATTTGACATTTTAGGGCCCTATGACAACCTGTGAAATGCTCACAGGTAGCAGAAAAGAGAAGGTGTAGCTTCTTCAATTCCTCCAAATAGGTTTATCCCAGGTGTGATTTGGGTTGGGGTGGGATATTTTTTGCCTGGGTGTAACTCTCTCTCTCTCTAAAGGGAGTTCGAAGCAACAGGAACTGATTTTTCTTTGAGAGGTTGGTCTGGAACAGACTGAATCTGTGGTTAACACTCTGTATAGCCAAGTGTTGCACCTTTTTAAAACTGGCTTACATGTTCAAAGTCACAGAGAGAATAAGCAGTCATTATTCTGAGATGTTACAGATCTTGATACATGTCTCTGAGGAACAGTCCCCTGCAGTGAAATTATGTGTGTAATCCTGGGCGTGTGCTACTTTATCAAATAAATAGATTTTTAAAATCTAAATTGGTTTGTGTGTGATGTGTGGTGGAAAGTCGGGCAATTCAGTGCTCAAAACCCAGCCCTTCCATTCAAGAGCTGTGTGAGCCTCAATTTCCACCTCTGTAAAATTGGATATTAACACCTACCCTATAGAGTTATTGTAAGAATTAAATGAGATAATGTATGTAAAGAATTTGGTACATAATAGTTACTAATTATCATCATATATACTAATCCCTGAGAGCCATGAAAAGGACAAATGGTTACAGAGGCACTCACCACTGGATGGTACTCACCCAGGCAAGCAGGTGCCTGCCAATTTGGCATCACAAGCAAAGGGGCTTTGACCAGTAAAGCATTACAGTAGCAAATGCCACGGAAATAATTGCATAGTTATGTAGAGAATTACCTCCGGCCAAGAGCACCTGCATACAACATCCAGGGGCACAAGTAAAGTTTAGAATAAAACAGCAACACCAGAGGGTCACATTGTTTTTTTTTTTTTTTCCTTGCAAAATAAGACTCCAGGAAGAACAAAACAGACTGATAGATTAAACTGCCAACTTCTCAGAAGAAAGGCAACATTTCAATCATGTATTATATGCATGCTATACTTACATGCCTGTGGTCTAAAATCAAACGGTAATAGCCTAACTCTAACTAGACATCTCTTGACAGAGCTCTCTTACTGTCAAACATTGAGATGGAAAAGCTCAATCTAATGACTCTTTTTTGTAATTGTCCTATTTTATTTTCACCTGCAAAAGCTCCTTGGCAGATCCTCGCCTATCCACATCCATCTCAAGACAGCGATTTAAAAAGTCACGGAATACAGCTGACAGTCTCTCGGGATTCTGGAGCTCTGGGGTTCCATTAGTGGCTATCAGATATAATGCCTATAAAAAAAATGAGAAAAATACATTCAACATATACACATTAGGATAGTGGGTTGGCACAGAAGGCACAAATCCAGTTTCTTCTGGTTTACCCTTTGGGTCTTAAAAATTCCACTTTAGAAGAATGACACTGACATATTTCAAAATTTCTATAACATTTAGAAATTATTCGTTGGCAGTAACTTAGGTAACAGTGAGGTGTTCCATCCTCCCCAAAAAAACTAAACTTGGAAGTAAGGTTATAAAGTTGTCCTCTGAGACTTGAGCCAGTAAAAATCCATATATAATGAATGTGTGATTAACCACCTAGGAAATTAAACCAAGGGACTGCCTGTAAATCTGTGATTCTAAAGAGATGGGGAACATACATACATCCAATCATGTTGACTTGAGTACAACTTCAGGAAGGCACAATGGAAAGGTGATTGTAATTTAGTAAGTGCTTATTTTGTTTGAAGACTATTTGTGAGTAGACATGGGATGAAGACAGTAGCTTATAGAATTAGAGAAGTACAGAAGATGGCAGTGACTGTAGCAGCTGTATACCTATTGATTTAATTAGATTTCCTATGAAGGTCTACCTATAATGAGAGGATATATGAGAAAAGTTGATTTGGTAGTCCTGCAAAATAATAAGTTGCTAATAACTGTATATACATTTCTGAGATCTTTGTTATGTAAGGCTGCCACAGAGAGACATCAACTCATGGTGTGCTGACAGAATCAAGGTTCTTAGCCTTCAAGGCAGAGAATTGAACCCTAAACCATGATTAATACACAAAGATAAACACATTTTTTGAAGGTTTGTGATAGCCAAAAAAAGTTGGCCATTACTAATGACTTCCTAAGCAAATAATTCTAGAGCATTCAGTGTGTACATTGTATTGTATTAGACACTAGCAATGAATAAGATAGCGATCTTCCTTTTAGAGATCACCTAATTTAGTGAAGGAGAGAGATTTATAGAGAGCTATAATACAGTGAGATAAAAACTAATAGAGGAACATAGCAAGTGCTGAGTAAATGCAAACATGAAGCAGTTTACACCAGAGTTCAGAGAAAGCTTCACAGATAAGGCTGGCATTTGAACAGGTTCTTCAAGGATAAGTAGGAGTTTGCCTGCATGTTCTGCCACAAGGGTCATGCCTGCACATGCGACCAACCCCCTAACTCTTATGAAGACATGCTCCCTCCTGAACTTGCTTGGGCTTTGCAGCAAATTATCATCCCCTTTCCACACCATGGCGTTAATATTATCATTACAAGTATTTCTATCAAAGTCTTCATCAGTTGGTGAGGACATGTCTTCTTCCCAGCAACTCTCACAGATGTACTAAAGAAAGGGTCCGTGAGGACTGTTTAATCTAGAGGCTGTCAACTTATAGTGTGCACCAGAATCATCTAGAGGGCTCGTTAAAACACAGGGTCTTAGGCCACTCCCAGAGTTTCTGATTCAGTAAATCTGGGGAGGGGCCCAAGAATTTGCATTCTAACAAGTGCCCTGTTCAAGCTGAAGCTTCTGGTTCCAGGGCCAAACTTTAAGAACTGGTTTGATCCACCCAGGTAATTAAGCAATGGGATAAACTAGAGGTTCCCAGAGTTGTCTGTATATTAGAATCACCTGGAAAGATTTTTAAAGATCCTCAATTTAGTAAAAATCTCTGGGAGCGGAAACCAGACGCCAGTATTTTTAAGCTCTCCAGGTGATTCCAATTTGCAGCCAGTGTTGAGAACCACTGGCCAAAGACCTGCAGCCCACTCCAGACTTAATAACTTAGAATCTCTTCATCATTAAGCCACAGAATTTCATAGGAGATTCTCTTGCATAGCGATGTGTGAGAATTGCAATGCCATATGCTTCTACAGTGTGTAAGGAAACTTACACCCACATGTAAGTACACCTCCCTCCAAAGGAACACCTTACTTTCCCCCACCTCTCATTGCTTGGTAATTTTCAATTCCTTTACTGATAAACAGCAAATATAGGTGGCAGCTATTGGGACTTCCACGCCAAAATAAAAGTCAGTGGCAAATCCAATCTTGATTAAAAGGAGGTGTGGTGGAAAAGGGATGCACCAACTGCTTTTAAGAAATCAGTGACTGGGGCTGGCCCTGTGGCTCACAAGCGCAGCGCTGATAGCGCCCAGGCCGCGGGTTCGGATCCTATACAGGGATGGCCGAAAAAAAAAAAAAAAAAAAAAAAAATCACTGACTGGGCTAAAATCAAGTGGTGCAAAAATCACAGAGACTATATTAAGTTCAAACAGAGTGTTTTAGTTCTTGCATTATTAGTGCTTGAAGCACCTGTCCTTGCAAACCATCTCTTTTCCCTTATGAAAAGAAAGTAAGTTGGCTGCAAATTACATTTGCTGCCTCCTAAAACTTGCTTATTTCAGCTGGCTACAACTCCCCCAGACTCATTGTTCTTGCTTTTTCAGCTCTGTAGCCAAGGCCAGTCTTAAACAAACACCTCTATTTTCTCCCTTTCCCTAGGTCTTTCACTCTCCTTAGGTCTGTATGCATGTTGTACTATTTCATTTTCTCATTTTCCTTCACCATTCTTAGCTCAATCCATTCTACTCCATCCAATCTTCTTCCTTATAAGTGAATATACATTTTCTCATTTCTCTTCAATCCACGCCTAATGACCTCAGGAAATGCGTGCCCCTCTTTCTATTCCATGTATGAATCAAAAAAAAAAAAAATGACCTTAATCATAGTTGTTAAACCTGAGTAACTAGTGATACAGTGCATCCAGGGATAAGAGAGCCTGTAATTTGAAGGAAAATCGGAAGTAATGAGCCAGTGCTACAAACTTCTACAGCACTTCAAAGAACTCTTCAGAACTACAAAAAGCCTAACTGTAGTTTTTGTTGGGGAATGGACTGATGGTAGGGAGTCTTTGTTGATAGCCTAAGAGCTGACTCTCCCTGTTTGGTTAGTGTTAATCTGTTTGTACTCCCTCATCCCTAATCTAGGTTCAAATGCAAGGTTGCCTTTTATTCAACACTATATCATAATTTTTTTTTATATTTAAGAAATTTTTAAAAATATCATTTTAAGGGCTGCATAATACTTCATCAAATGGATGCACCATTTTTTTGTTTGACTGATTAAAAAATACATGTACTAATACTGTACTATTGTCTGACCGATTAAAAAAATAATTGTTCTAAGAAAAAGGTTGAAAGACAACACATTAACAGTAGTTCTCTCTGGATGGATTATTGGTGACTTAATTTTTTAAATATATTTTTTAATTTTCCAAATTTTCTACAATGAACACAATTACTTTTATTATTTTTAAAAAACCTCCAAATATTATTTAAAAAATAAATTTGAAAAGCTGTGGTGTCCAATTTACACAGAAACCCTCATCTATTTCTCTTTGTCTTCCTAGGATTAAACCTGCTTTTCATCAAGTGGTACCCTTTGAGGGAAACAAAAACCCACAGTATTTCTTTTTCAAGCATTGTTTTCAGTTTAATTGCAACAGTATTATTTCCAACTAATTTCCATTGCAAAAATCCACACACAGTTATATCATGGGCTAAACTGGCCTTTGTGGACTGGCCTGGGAACCTAATCACTATGTATAATGCTGCTTCTATGGGAAAATGCACTCTGAGTTCCAAATAATTAACTTAAAAATGAACTTTTGGAATACATCCTGTGTGTAATCTAGGGGACTATTTTAGTAAAAAAGAAAATTGCTACCCACTGCCCTGCTGAGAGACAAATACAGTTGTAGCCACAACAACAATCACAGCAAAAAGGGTTTTACTAGAAAAGTCAAGTCTTAGATGAAGAAAGATTGAGAAAATGTATCTAGGCATGAGTGATCACATGTTAGTTTTATCTGAGTTAGTGAAAATGCAAAGAAAATGAGCTGGCTATTAGAAATTAGGCTACAGATTTCCCATATAGTTGGTTGTTTCTAACATAATAAACCACAGACTCATCCTCTCTTCCTCCCATTCTCACTATAATCAGTCTACCAGGTTCTGTTCATGCAACCTTTAGAGATGTCTCTCATACTCATTCACTTCTCTCTATCCTCACTGTCTTTGCTTAAAGTTGGGCTTCTTTCAGACATTACAATAGCCTCCTAATTGTTTTTCCTTACTCAAGCCTTTTTATTCTTCAGTCCATTTTCCTTAACAATCTTATCTCATCATGTCATTCACTTCTCTGCTTTAAAATTTTTGGTGGCTTCCCATGTGGTTTTCAAACTGTGCTCACCAAAATTCCTCTCAAGAGAAGCTAAGAGGGAAAAGAGAAGGTAGAGAGAGATAAGAGCAGATATTCTAGGACCATACCACCCCCCCCACATGTATCTGTTTCAATCAGAGGAATTTTACTTTTTCCCCTCTATTTATTTATGCTTTCAAGCAAGGTTTCCTTGGAACCAGGGGATCACTATAGTTATTTGAAAACCACTGGTCTACAGGACATAGTAAAAATTACTTAATATGGCATATAAGGTCCTCCATGATTTGGCCCCTGCCCACCTTCCCAGCTGTCATCTGTTCTCTTCTCACCCTAGGGCCCTTCTCCCCTCCCCCGCTCCCACCCCCATGCACACTAGCCAAAGCTCTCACACTATTCACACCAATTTGTTCATTATTCTCTGAATAGGAAATGCTCTTTCATAGCTGCCTAAAATGTTATTATGAGGCTGTTCCTCATCTCTCTATGCGCCTGGTAAACTGCTACTTGCTTTCAAGCTGTAGTTCAAATGGCATCTCTCCTTTAAAGTCTTCTCTGTCTCTTCCAGGTAGATATGGTGTAGAGCTAGAGCTGGGTCTGGAGATTACAGACACCTGGAGCCCATTCACAAACCCTTCACATGCAGGTTTCTGAGCTAGGTAACCGGCAAAAAGGTCCTTGGAGCCTTGGTTGAAGAAGGAATAGTCTTTATTCAGCACACACATGTCTAGGAGCTAGGCAATACACAGAGAAACTCAGAACTTCAACTGCTACAGCAAAGTCCAAAGAAA